CCCCCATCTCTTCTCATGTTTATATTTATGCCATTTAATCTTTGGCCAAAAACTTAATGGGGTGCATTTTCAAATACCAGAACATGGGAATACCCACAAAACCATGCAGGTATGCTTATGCACTTTTTTTTTAAACTTGTATCAGAATTCTTACAAGTTTATGCATGTTAGGCCTGCGGGATGAAATAAACTTTCTTGTGGAAAGTGGAGCACAAACTCAGTATTTAGACCTTGTTAAAGCCCTAGTTTGAGAGGTTAAATAGTATTAAATGTTGCAGGAGCCTCATGCCACATCTCTGGAAGGGGAGTGGGTAGAGTTCATTCACTGTGAAGTAATACTTGTGTGAATAGTTAGAGGTAGGATGACCAGGAATCCATGCCTGGAAAACCTGTGATCTTGATGATTTCAGTGCCCTCTCTGGCATCCTGTGAAAAATCTCACATGACAGCTTTGAAGGCAGCTGGATCCCTTGCTGGTCAGCTGCTCCTACCAGAAAATTCTTCTCCAGATATTCTCTGGATGGCAGAAATCCCCATCAAAACACTCACCAGAAGGGAAAGAGCAGCGGTGCTGTGAAAACAGCCTGGGGAGTGTCCCCATATCAGATAAGTCCATCAAAACCACTGCTAGTTCAGCAACATCAAACTATTAAAATGTCACAGCATGGAGCTCAGCTTGAGCTGTTTTGTTCATTTCTAGGATAGGATTCGAAGCCTAAACTGCACTCCATGCTTCTGGGGGAAGATCGCCACCAGTGCTCTGGGGAGTGAGCTGGAAGGTGCATCCATGAAGTAGAAACATGTACTGAGTGACATCCTTTGGAGTTGATCAGTCAGGAAAACATGAATAAATAAGTCTTTGTGCAAGGGACACCACATTTATGAAAGGCATCTGGTGTGCAGCTTAGGCAAAAATGCCATGAAAGTGAGGGCAGCACCTCCCCGTGTGCCCCACAGGGTCTATAGGTAACTTTGGAAAATGCCTGCACTTGGGCAGGGCCATGCTGGCCGGTGACAGTGACCTCCTTGCTTCAAGTGTACAGATGCTGCAAGATCAATGTCTCCCAGGGAATGTGATTTTTTAGAGATGTTTCTCAAGCCATGCTTGAAATACCTGGTGTTAGTAGGCAGCCCATGAGGCAACTCTGTGAACAAGGTGTTGGCCAGCCAGGGAGTTCACCCTGCTGATACAAGACTATGCCTTAGGACATATTTAAGATAGAAGTGGCCTGGGCATAGCATAAAGCCCTTCTCAGTGCCCTCTTCCCTAATAGCTTGCAATGTTGAACTCTGCAGGAGCCTCCCACCCACCACGTCCCAAACAGTAATTTCAAGCTGTCTGGCCTAGGAGACTGGTAGGTTTTGAAATGATGCCAGGATATGATTAATAAATTTCCAGGTGCTTGCAGGAAGGGCAAGGAAAGCAGTGCTGGGAACAGCTGTGGAGGAGATTGCCAAAAGCGTGAGGTGACCTCCATCTTGTCTATGGTTGGGTGTCCCTCCAGACAGCAGAGAGATATTTGCAAAAACCCAACAGGATTGTACCCCACAGTTCCAATTCCCTATATGGATTCTCCTTTTCTGTGTAAGTGAGAACCGCTATCTTGTCCTCCTCAGCCCAAGTGCCATTACTGATCAGTCAGGAGAAGTGACAAACCTCCTGGCAGCAGGAGCTGAGGAGCTGAGGCCTCTAAGATGAGCTGTGGAGGAAGAGGTGATGGCTGGTTTCACCTTTGTTTCAGTCACTGGAGAAGAAAGACATTCTGCCCCCACTCTCCTGGGGACCAGACAGAGAGTTCACAGAGAGTCTATGAAGAGGGCTGAACTCCTGCTGCTGAGGTGAGTCTTCAAAGGTTCATCTTTTTTTCATTTTCTTCAACTGCCAGAAGTCACAAGCATGTGGTTCATGAGACAAGATGTCCATGTGCCACTGGAAGACTTTGCTCCTTCCCCTGTCAGTGCCTGCCCAGCGCTCCTACGCTCTCTCTTGTCTTCTTTCAATGACTTGGTTTACAATGCTCCCATAGAAAGTCTTGTTGCATTCAGAGAATTGAATGGGCAAAAAACTAGAGAAAATTATTCACTGTTTTGCCCCTGTTGGGTTAGTTTCCTGGCCACTTTTCTGCATCAGCTTCCTGTACGCTGACAGGAACAAGGGGGCAGTCTGAGCACCTTGGCCCTCAGGTGGCCCTTTGCAATCTCATTGCAGAGGGACAGCACAGCCTCTGTCACCCTTGGGGAGCATATCTCAAGGCAGAGCATCTCACAGTTCCTCCAGGGTGAGGGAAAGCACTACAGCTTGCCGAGGCAGGGGCACCCCAAACCTCTGTGAAGGAGTGAAGAGAGAAGTGCTCTCCACAGGCACCCATGGCAAATATTTTTTCATTGCTGCTTATTATGTAGAGTCAGGAAATGGACTGTTCGCAGGGTTTTTTTGACCATGAAGTCCTTCTCACTCAGCAGTAACCTAATCCCCACATAGGCAGGGGTCTCCTATATATTGATGTGCAGTCTGGTGCCATTCTTTGCATTAGCTTTTTTAACTTGCTCAACAGCTTGCCACGGACTCTGAAAACAGCAAGCATAAAAAGCCATGCCAATGGACATGTAGAATGAAGGAAATAAAAATGGAGCAAGGTAAATTTTTTTTCTGAAATTTAAGGAGGCATCAGATGTTGATCAAGATAACTTTAGTCTTTGATAGTGCTAGACAGTTTAATGTCCCCACTCATATATTAGCAAAACCTTTCTGTGTATAATGTCCTTTGTACTTGTAGTGACACACTGAAAGAAGCCCTCATTCTCAATTTAATGGAGACACATCTCACAGTGATTTTATATATTTCTTAGTTAACAAAAAAAAACACCTCTCTCCCAGGGACAAAGACCTCCCAGCTTATGGAAAGGCAGCATCAGTTTTTCCTTGGTTGCAGAGCTCATTTTTTTCCCTGTAATTGGATATTAACCTCTGACTGATATCAGAAGCAACACTCTGGCACTACCCCGGCAGGTTGATAGTTGAGGCTTCTGACTTCAGGTTTCAGTTTCCCAGGGAAGGACCATGCCGAGGTATTTCCTCTTTCCTCAGAGGTGTGGGGAGCAGGATCAGGAGTGTGCCTGGCTGTGTCAGGTGTCCCGCTTCAGTGTGTTTCCTGGTACCACAGGGACACAGCTGCACAGTTAAAAGATCCAGATAACTGGGTATGTTTGAAGTGAGATTTGTTCACCTGGGTTCAAAAGCTCACTACACAAGAATAGTTACTTGTGAAGAGTTGCACCCCATGACAGAAATAAACAATTCCAGGTTCTTTTAAAATAAGAAATAATCTTAAGTATGTAGAACCCTAAATGCATCTGCAGCTGCTTTCCAGGCCACATTTAACTGAACAGAACTACTTACCTCACATCCACATTAGATCCAAAAAAGTTCACTGCTTGGACCAAGCTCAAACACAAGCTCTTAGGCACATCCATAACTTGAACATGCTGCGTATTACTTAATGGGTAGGGCTATACGTGCCTGAGTGATGGGCCACGTGTGTGCCACTGTAAACTTTTTTGAATTAGAATTTGGAGTGCTGGCTTAGTGAAATAAAATAATTGAATTAGAAGGCCCATTTTGTTTAATGAACTTTATTCTAACAGGACTGTGTTTCCATTCCAGCACAGAGACGTCCCATGGCCCAGGAGGCTTTGAATCAGAGACATTACACTCTGTGTACATTAAAGTCTGTAATTCAAAGGATTAATCTCTTCCCTATTCTCCTTGCCTGTGTCTGAAGGAGGAGGTGAAATCTCTGTCCAGATGTGACATCTGCAACTGCATGGAATGAAAGGACACCTCGCTGTGGAAAGCTCACTATGCTGAGTGTTTTACAGGCAAACAGACATAAACTCTGCTCATGAAAACCCAGTGCTACTTGATTCAATAAGAAAAAGTCACTGACAGTAGAAAGGTGAGAATGAATAATGCAATTGCCTAGGTGCAAATTCAGCAGGCTTGTGAGGGCCAGAGACTCTGGTCTGCTGAGGCCATGTTACATTGTAGATGCAATAAGTAGTGCCCTTGGACACTTCTTAGATTTGTTTAAATTACATTTTGACAAGCTTTTGTTCATAGATTTTCATCAGGAAACTACAGGTCTCTTTCCATAGGGAATCAATAATCCTGGCACCTGGATTCTCAAGCCACCTAGCAGGGATGCCTGGGTGAGGTAGTGTGTGAGGTAGTGTGACTGGTCCAGCAGCCCAGTGAGGGCTGGGTGAGGTAGTGTGACTGGTCCAGCAGCCCAGCAGAAAAGGCAGCCTGAGTTACTCACTGTCCTCTTGAACTAGAAATGCTGTAATAGTCATGACAAATAACCATGTACCTGGTCAGAGGTCTAAATGCAGGTGTTTAAAGCAGGGAAAGGATAAGATTAGAAAAGCTCCTGTTTCTGTGAAAGGAGTCTTTGTTCATGAAATATTGTGCCAATGGACTTTTCTAGCCAAGAAGTAAGCGACCTGGAAACACAGCAGGATAAGAGGGAGAATGGGGAAAAAAATGGGTGAGAAAGGTGACTTCTCAGGATCTTGATTGCTGCTCATGTACAATGTAAATGTGCTGGATCTGGGTACTCCTGAACCTGGCTGGCAAAGGGGCTGCAGCACTCCTGCATAGGACAATCCCTCAAACCACCAGCTTCATTCCTGGTGTGTGAATACCCTGTTGAATTTATTTAAGTGAGTCAGCTGCGGGACTCTTGGCAGGGTGGGAGCCTCCATGCCAGCACAGGACACTGAATGGAAGTGAGAATGTGGCTCATCTTCCTTTTTTACTTCTGTTCCTCTTCCTAACACTACCCACCACAGAGTGCCACTGTTTCCTTGCCCTCACTTGGGTGCTAGTTGGTCACTGTGGTACATACAAACCTCCTCTAGGAGAAGAAGGCCCCCTCCTCCTGTGGAGAGAGGGTTACCAAGCTCAGTGATGTCACAGACACCAAGTGCCAGGGCCACCTAAAGGCTAGGAGCCAGCTGAGGAGGTAGGCACAGCAGTGGGAAACAAAACTTCCTGCTTGCGGTGGCAGGAGCACCAAGGGCCTCCACTTTTTGATATTGAGGTGGGTGAACAGGTGGGTGCTACTCTGCCAAGCTCCTCAAGTCCTGGCTTGTTGGTGGCCCCCTGCCTGGAAAAACCCTTGACCTGGTGGGAACTCTCAGGTGCCCATGCAGGCTCCCATGGAGGGCTGAGTAGGTCATATCAAGTGATTGGAAATTTGATGCTTGGCTCAAGAGGGTCTCATGGTTCATTGGAAACTAAGCTAATTAGGCCCTGAAGACAGCAGTTCAGAAATACCCTGTCTGGCTATGGGTGGCATGGCAGGAGACCAGGACCAGGAAAGCTCACCTCTCCCCTTCTGCACTTGGGCAGCTCCACACCTAGCACACACCATGAGGTGTGTATTAGCTGGCCCAACCCCAACCCTGCCTTATCTGCCAAGGGGTGATGAAGGAAAGATTTCCTAAATGCTTTTTCCCGAGTTATTTTGGTTCTGCCAAAAGGCCTGCTGCTTTGTGTTCATTTACAGAATCACACAGAATCAACCAGGTTGGAAAAGACCTCCAAGATCATCAAGTCCAACCCAACACCACCCTGTGAACTAGAGCATAGCACTGAGTGCCACATCCAGTCTCTTCTTAAATACCTCCAGGGACAGTGACTCCAACCACCTCCTGGGCAGCACATTCCAATGTTTGATCACTCTGTAAAGAATTTCTTTCTAATGTCTAACCTAAAGCTCCCTGGCACAGCTTAAGACTGTGCCCTCTTGTCCTACTGCTGGTTGCCTGGGAGAAGAGACCAACCCCCACCTGGCTACAACTTCCTTTCAGGTGGTTGTAGAGAGTGATGAGGTCTCCCCTGAGCCTCCTGCTCTCCAGGATAAACAGCCCCAGCTCCCTCAGCCTCTCTTCATAGGGCCTGTGCTCAAGTCCCTTCATCAGCCTCGTTGCCCTTCTTTGGACACTCTCCAGCACCTCAATATCCTTCCTAAATTGAGGAGCCCAAAACTGGACACAGTACTCCAGGTGTGGCCTCACCAGCGTTGAGTACAGGTCCTGGTCCTGTTGGCCACACTGTTCCTGATCCAGGCCAGGATGCCATTGGCCTTCTTGGCCACCTGGGCACACTGCTGGCTCATGTTCCACTTCCTGTCAATCCAAACTCCCAGGTCCCTTTCTTCCTGGCTGTTCTCCAGCCACTCTGTCCCCAGCCTGTAGCTCTGCATGGGGTTATTGTGGCCAAAGCGCAGGACCCGGCACTTGGCCTTGTTGAACCTCATCCCATTGGAATCAGCCCAACTCTCCAGCCTGTCCAGGTCCCTCTGAAGAGCCCTCCTGCCTTCCAGCAGATCAATACTTCCCCCCAACTTGGTGTAGTCTTCAAATTTGCTGATGGTGGACTCAATTCCCTCATCCAGATCATCAGTAAACATATTAAAAAGGACTGGGCCCAACACTGATCCCTGGGGGACACCACTAGTGACTGGCCGCCAACTGGATGCAGCACCGTTCACCACCACTCTCTGGGCCCGGCAAATGGCCCTGGCAACCCCCCTTGCTTGCCAGGTTGGCTGCCAAGAGTAGCCAAGCCCAGGCTACCAGGCTACTGTCATTTATTCCTCTGGATTATTACCTGAAGCAGGTCCACCCTGCACATACTGGGCATTGTTTGGGTTAAGCCCAGGTGCTCAGCCAAGCCAGCTCTGGCAGCAAGGGCAGAGTCTGAAGGGTCACAGCCTCTTCCTTCATGTCATCAGCAGGGACACAAAGTGAGACAGGCCCTGGTCTTTGCTTCAATTCTGTCCCACCTTTCAGCAATGCTTCAGAGCCCAAAGTATTTGAAAGGGGCGTTTCCAGAGACAGGGAACACCACGCATTTCAATGTTTCTGATAAATTGGTACACACAGTGGAAAAAATGAATACCACACTTGTATCTAGAGATCAAAGCAAGGAACCAGCACAGTAGTCTCTTATTACACAGTTGTCAGCCCAATGCTATAATTGGTATTATATATATAATATAAACCATTACACATATATATTTATTTTCCTCTTAACAGTAGTTTCTGATTTTTCCTTCTCTGGATGAGGCAGGCTGTTGCTCTTACTATCCTTGTGATTTCTAACTTGGCTTCTGCAATGAAATAAAAAACCAGTCCTCACTTTACAAACATGTGGTCATGTTTCTTAAATGAAACTGTGTGATGCACAGAGTACCAAGGCTGTAATTCAAGTTGCTCATCACAAACTGCCAAAGTCATTTTTCTTTCAGGATATTGCCTTTCACTGAATCTGAAGATTGACTTACAATTTGGTGGACCAAGCAGGATATTTGTTACTCTTAGGAAGAGTGATTAGCAAACACTGGCAAGGCATTCTCCTAAACAATATGACACTATTACTCACTGTTGAATTTAAATGAAAAGATAAATATTTCACACAGCAAGCTTAGCTGCACATGGCTTTTGCCTCTGTTGTTTATTACATATTTCTAAAGTAGCAGGTAATGATTTTGGTGTTTTGTGAGCTATAATTTAAAACCAATAAATCAAAGAGCTTTATTAAAGGATCTTCTTATCCTACTCAGAGCAGCATAGCCAGATGTTAAATTAGAAATGGAGAAGAAAACTTTTAAAACAGTTATGTTTTAAAGGTAAATTAAGTAGTATGTTTGCAGAAATCATTACCTTCCACTGAGGCTATACTTGCTTTGTCATTTAAAAAAAAAAAATTAAAAAATTAAAAGTGCTATACTTTTAAAGGGGTTTTACACTGCCTTGGCTACTTCCAGTTGACCCTGGTGGCTTTGGCTATTGCTGTCCTGGCCCTAGGTAGCAGCTGACTGGAAAGACCTGTGCTACAATGCTCAAAATAGTCATGCCTGCAGCAGTGCTATGTGTTTTGTCGCCAAGAACTAAAGCAATGAGTAACTAGTCTGAATTCTCCCATCAGTTGAGCAGCAGAGAAATGTTCTTCTAGTCAGACAACACACAAACAGGTGACATGGCTTTCTACAGAAGAAGAGTGGCATGTGCATGGAGAGTGCTCTTAGACAAATGTTCTTGCTTGTACAGGTGCACTACAACATGAGACCAGTTCGATAAGAGCCCTTAGAAGAGAGCCCTTAGCAAGCTGGTGTTCAAGAGGAGGGCTTAAAATGATGGAATAGCTTGAATGTGCATGGGGAAGCTGACAAGAGTTGGTGGAGGCAACCTTATCCTCATTAGCAACATCTTAAATCACTGAGTGAATGTCCTTTCTCATGTTTCCTGCAGTTGCTGCAGATAATTCTGAGTCTATAAAACTTTTTTGGATATAGCTCTGTTTGCAGGATCTCATTCCAGTTTTGAGGAGTAAGTACATTCTTGTCCGGTCTTCAGAGTGATGCAGTTTGGAAAAAACAACATACCAAAGCAGTTTTCTTCCATGTGGTCCTCCATCAGCATAGATGTGTGCACTATCTGTGCCCACCAAGTGAGTGACACACACATCTTTCAGTTTAGAAATATTTAGAAATGTTGTGGGGATGATAGTAGAGTATCTGTCTATGTATGCTATTTATTCTCTTTAAATGAGCATTTGCCCTTTAATCTTGCTAAGAAGCACAGTTTAATTCAGAGGACACTCCACTGTGAAACTTTTTGGCTCATAAGGGGTTGTAGCAACTTCTTGCCATGTAAGTCTCAGTCTAGCAAGGTACCATGGGATACGGTAAGGTGTCAAGAAATCCCACCTCATGCTCAAACATATTTGCAGTTGTCATTCAAAGATGTGTTTGCATATATTTTTCAGTTTAATCTGATTTGGTTTAATGGGATTTGGAGTGTCCCTAATGATTGTGCCACAGTTGTGTGATCCCCTGACTTGATGCTTCAACCAGAGGTTGCACAAAACCAAATCATGCAAACCTGCTTTCACCCTTGCACCCAGCACCTGCAATCCTCTGTTCATCACATATCTCAGTAAAATGAAGACTGCAACTCTTTGCTGATCTTGAAAAGCAGATTAGACAAATATCTGCCAGGAATGGTTCAGGTGTAGTTGCTCATACCTTGGGCTGGAAGAATGACTTTCTACAAGCAATTGCAATGCAATTTTCTGAGACCTCTAGGAAATTAACATGATGGTTAGACTATTAGAGGAGTGACAAGCACAGCTACTAGCTAGTAGCCAAAATTAAAACAAATCATATTAATTATTCAGATTTTTCTGCAGCCCTTAAACCTTTCTAAGTTTACCTAGGTATCACCTTCATCAAGAGAAGACGGGGGAAAGAGAACGTTTTCCTGTTGAGAAGAGAATCCTTTTCAACTTACTGATTGAGAGGACATGCTTTCCATCCTATTTTGTTTTTTATTTCTCCCAAGGATTGACACAGGCAGAAAAAAAGTCTAGATCACAAATGGCAATCGTAAGTCCCTTGGGCAGCTAAGTTCAAAATGTTTATGCTGTGAACTCCCACCCTAAGCTGCTGCTTGTCTCTGGCTAAATCTCCCCTGTAGCTCCATTTCCATGGTAAAATCTCCATCTCATTAGCTGTTGGCCATAGTTACAAATAAGTCAAATCCAAATGCTTTTGTCTGAGCACAAGGCCTGCTGGATTTCCCAAACAAACACTTTCCCATCTATTTCTCTTTGCAAGGCAAAGACCTAATTTTAAGTCTAACCCTTGCTTCACATCATACTTTGTTTCTGAATGCCTAGTTGAACACATCTGTGACATCTTTCTCTAGGTAATGGTATGCTCAAGCCTCTTTCACACCAGGGGTGCAGTTACAACAGGAGGGACTGTGAAAAACTGACTTAAAAATAACCATCAGCCTATAAGCTGCACTGCCATTTTGGGAAGCAAGAAAAGAGTGCAACAGAGACAGTTGCACCTATAAATCATCTAGTTGTGGATAAAAAGGGGCTTTCAGTGTCCCAAATCTTGTTATTTTTCCAGCAAAATAGGTTTATTTTGGAGAGTCAGGCTTATATCTTATCTTAAAATTTAGTATCTTGGGTCCTTCTTTAATCACAGAGGTCTGATTTATACAGTCAAAGAAGGCTGGGAGATGATTCATATGCCCTACCGGCACAGCTGGGCTTCCTTTAATGTCAGCTCTTCCTGCCATTTGATACTCCAGGACAGATGAGACATCTGCACAGGGCTTGCAGATATGATGTAAGACAAAGGAAGTCCATGCCCTTTTGGTGAAGCAACTGGATGCCAACCAGGATACTCCACCTAAAATAGCATTAGACACTTGCTTTTAGGCAACTGAATCCTGGTTTTAGAAAGATTAATTATTTCTAGGTTCATTGATTATACAGAATATATTTCCATGGACTTGAATGAATTCCCACATTCATGCCTGAATTTAGATGTTCTCACCTGGTATTGAATGTCCTCTCCCAGCAGGATTAAGTGGCCTAAATACGGCTGTCTAGTACAATCTCAGGTACCCCACCTGAACTCCAGCTGCTGCTGCAGGAGGCTGAGGGTCCCCCAGCAGTGTCATGTCTTCTCTGTCAGTCCCAAGCAATTATTCCAGACATGCTGAGGTGTCTCAGAGGGCTTTAGACATCTATACTGAAGCCATCTGTGCCTTGAAGAGGGCTGGGAGAATGCTGTCAGTATGGTCAGTACCAGGAGCACTCTGATGTTTCTGGAAGGGGAGAGCCAAAGTCTGCACTGATATTCACAAGACTTTTGTCACATATGCTGGCTGCAGTGGGTTCACCACTGGCTCACATGGGCAGCATTCATCCACTCCATGCTTATTTTGCATTACAGTCTGTTTTCCAGCTCAAAAAGCATATTGGAGACTGATGCTGAGATTTCCATTTTTTATCTGATCTGGTGGTCCTGTCAAAGTGATACGAGCTGTGCCCTCTGATACTAACAGCACTTTCAGAGATTCCCAGCACTTTCTTATTAGTTAGATCTGTGCTTTGTATTTTTTTCTACCAACCCAGTCCTCAAGAGAGATTTGTAAATTTTATTTCAATATTCAGTGGTTTGAAATTTGTTTTTTGGCATCAGCATAGACTTTGCAGAGCAGCACAATGTGCAGTGGAAGTTTGAGTAATTCAGATAAAATTCATTCTTGGAGTACATAGGCTTTACGCCTGACAGTCTTTTTTTTTGGGTGAGAACAAACTTTAGCCTTTGTGCACAGTAGGAAATGGTAGGGATAATACACACCAGGAGAAATCCTGACCTGTAGTGGAGCTGTGACAGGAGGGATTAAACTAAAGAAATTAATGGGGATCCACCCCAGGCTAAGGAGGAGAGAGTGAAGGTCTTGACAAATTTAATGCTCTACGGTGCCTTCTCTGACTTTGCAAGGAGATCCACTCGATCAATGTACAGAATTGTCTCTGTATGCTCCTGCTGGTGAGCACGTCTTTCCATTGTGAGACAGCAATTCACATAGTTCTGATCTCTTATTTTACCCCAGTGAGCAGCTGTAAGGATAATAAACTCCCTTCCAATAAACTGGTAATGCCACTTTGCTGTTTCATGCCAGGTGAGGAGCAGCAGGGATAAATGAAACCTCAGTGCCAAGGTAATGAAATGTTTCCATTGTCAGTTTGACACAAGCACGTGAGCGGTCAGAGCACGGTGCTAATAACATAACACCAAGGTTGCAGGTTCAATTCCCATATCAGCCATTCACCTAGGAGTTGGACTTGATGATCCTCGTGGGTCTCTTCCAACTCAGAATACTCTGTGATTCTGTGAACAAGAGAGCAAAGATGACACTCAAATTGAAAAGGGTTTGGGTAAACTTGTTATTTGAGAGTACATCACTGTGCGCTCACACCTGTGTGCCTTTACAGGGTCTGGTCAGCAAGGACTGAAAAAAAATGTCACAAGTGCCTTTGCAATAGATACCTCTGCAAGCACACAGCAGGAAGACCAATAGCTGGGAGAGAAGTACATCCATCACCAATGGGCAGGCACTCCACGCTGCTCACTGCCTCCCAAAACCTGCAGATGCAGCAGGGAGCTGTGGCTTCCATCAGCGGAGGAGCTTTACTTATGGGGACATGCAGGGTCCAGCACTGATCATGTTCAAATCCAAGTGATAACTCAGCGATGGCCCAAGCACCCACCTACAAACACTGCACTCTGCATGGGAACAACAGGAAACTGCGGTCAGAGGGAACAGCTGCCTTAACTCACACAGATGCTGGATATAGACACAGCAATTAATACTACAGAAATAATGTATTTAAAAGCCAGTGTGACACAGTTATGCAAGTTACAATGATCTCTTTTGCAAAAGGTTGAGTCATGCTAATTACAACAACAAATCTTGCTCATAGTAGACAGTGTCTCTTGTCTCTGCTTCTGTTTTTAATTTTTGCCTACAGCAAAGACAGACTTTGCTGAAGATTGGGCCAGCTGACCAACAAAGATGACTGAAGTCTCTGAAACATTAGAACAAGAGTGTGGGCTAAAGAAGACATTATTATAAACAAGTCTAATACTGCAAAACTCAGTTCATGGAGGTTTGGAACACCAAGTGTAATTGTCCAGGGTTGCTACTGTTGTAGCCTATGCTCTGTGGTACAATATGGCATACTTTTCACTTGAAGATTATTTCCTACAGAGGACAACTACTCTTCCTCTGAGCTTCTGTCTGTGCTGTAATGCTGCAAGTGTGGTCCTTAAAGAGCTTTTAAAAAAATTTTCTTTTTGATCAATTGGCTTGAATATGGAAGCCTGGAACTACGTCCTCGGAGGGGAGCAGGACACCAAAGTGTTTGTGGGGCCCATCACTGGCTTAGGAGGCTTGAAGTAACCCCTCATCTTTTTGGTGGTGCTGGCAGGGAATAGTTTTAACCTTGATGTAATAGCCATCCCAAAATATCTCTTCTGAATAGCCTTACAAAAGCTGCCAGGCAAATCTTTCATAGCTTTAAGTATTACTGGTACTTTCCAGATAACGTAATTCTGCTTTTTCTGGGCCATTCCTAAAATATTACAGACACGCTGCATGACTGCAGAGGCAGCAGCACAACAAAACATTTGCCAACTCTGACTTTCTCCCTGCCACTGAGTTCCTGGGCCTTCTTGCCTCTCACGTCCACAAAACACACTGATACAGTAGGTGAGGCTGTGGAAATGAGCTAAGACTCTGCTGTCCCTCTCATAGAATAAAAAAGCCAGATCTCTCCTTCAAACAGTTAGACTTTGGTTTATGTCTCCAAAAGGCAGCAAAGCCCAATTTGTGCTTCTGCAGACCAAGACCAGGAACTAATCTTGATGTCCTAAAGAAATCATGATGGGTACATTGCCAGTGGATCCCTTTTTAGTGAGCTAGGAAGGGCTTTATGACAACTTCTGACTAAAGTTGTTTGTTAAATATCCAGATTGCAATCCTTTTAAACTTCTATAGAGCCAAATCAGCATCCTATTCCTACTTAAGAGATGGACAGCACAGGTTTGCCTGTGAAGCAGGTGCACAGTAAGATCTGGACAGCAGTTGAAAAGATGTGATGATAGATGTTGGAGCTAAATAGATTCTTTAAAAATAAATATTACTAGTGACTCAGGATTAAATTCTGCAGTTCTCGCTTACACAAACCTGCTGAGCTTTCAGACTTATTGCCCTTTCACATCCAAACTCATTCTATAAATGGAAAAAAGGGGAGAAGAGAGAAAAGAAATCAGAAAAATAAAAAACCCTACAATGCTAAATATATAAGAGCCCTGCTACAGATAAACTTGCAAAAAATATGAAATATATATTTTTTGCGGTCCAAGGCAAAAAACCCCCACTGACTCCAATGACATAGAAATCTACCTTATGGTCAACATCTGACATTTCAGCTATGGTTTCAATGTCATCAAGAGTCTGTTGATTAATTCAGGCACAGAGCTACCTTGATTTGCATTAGATTTTTTGATTTGCACACACAATAGTTAAGGAAACAGACATTGTATTACCCTTTGTATCTGTACAGTTAAGCTTATACAAGCCTCGGTTTGTTAAAAACTATATAGTTTAGTGGTGGGCTTGGCAGTGCTGGGTTAACAGATGGATTCAATCTTCGAGGTCTTTTCCAACCTTAATGATTCTAGAATTCTAAGTCAATAGAGACTCTTCCATTTATTTTTTTTTAATAAGGTCAAGTTATTTATAATATTAGTCTGCAAAAATTGATTTCTGAATACTTAATTCCTCTTGCAAAACAAATTGATTCATTGTAATATTGCTTGAGCTACTCATTAGTCATTCATTTGAAATGACTTTAAATACATTTTTATCTTCCTTCTAGAAAAACACCACGTTTTTCACAACTGGAAGAGAAGCAAGGAGACTCTTCAGTGGGATACCACTAATCAGAACCTGCATTCTTGTTATTCAGCCATTTAATCATCCCTTGTCATGACAAAACTGCCTGCTTTCAGCAGCTTTACCTGAATAAGAACTTGAAGAGTTTATTGCTTGGCAAATATTATTACAATGGGGGATAACTAAATGTCCCACTTAAAAAAAACCCAAACCAAACCAAAACCAAACAATTCAACAAAAACAGAAAGGCAAGATGTTAAAAAAGCCCTGACATTATTAATGGTAGTAACTGTAGCCAAGCAAACGCTGTAGCACTGAGAGTGGTGTGCTCATTCTTGACACAGCCAGCTTAAGCTGGTCCCTCATTTGTGTATATAGTAACCAGCCCCAAACAGACCGAGTAAAGGGAGCCCCAGCTGTAAAACTTCCAGTTCAGTATATTAAGACCATCACACTCTTTGCTCTATAAAAAGCCACGTAGAATTAGGTCAAGATCTCTTTCCTTGCCACAAAGAAAAAATAGAAGGTGGCATTGAGTCCTTCTCTAAACAACCAGCTGAGAAATGGCACAGGGACCACAGGAGGTAAGACAACACTCCACGGCAGGGTAGAGAGGGATCCTCAGCGAAGAGCTAAAATTCTTCCCAAGCTTTGAGAGAGTTCAAATGAAAGTTCAGCTTTAGCGACTTCTGAGGGAGTAGCGGCTCCAAACAGATGGGATGAATAAGCAGATGAGAAAGAGGTAGCACCAAGGGAAAAACCTGTCCCTATTTAAAAAAGAGGAGAACTAGGATTAATGAGGAAACCCAAACTAAAACAATCCCTTGAAGGCAAACAGCTTCAGATTTTCAAAAACTAACTACAGAAGGCTTGAAGACACCCCCAAAACTCATTGCTGAGGGAAGCGGAAGTGTGTGACTTTATAATAAGACAGGAGTTAATCCGCTGCAAAAAAACAATCCATGGATTTTAGTTATATTGTCTCTGCTGTCAACAAAGGATCTGATTTGCCTGTGGCTTCATGCATTCAAATGCACTTTTCACATGCAGCAATACCAGATGTTGTGCCTCTATGTTCCACTTCTGACTTCCCTTTACAGTTGTACCTCTCTCGCCAATCTCCTCATGCAAATGCATGGCATCTAAATTACCTGTTTTCTTTTATCTAACAGGTCTTTGCTATGATAAGAGGCACATACAGAAGCTGGACAAAAACCTCAAGAAGGAAATTAGTAATTAAAAATAACCCCAATCTGTTAATTCTGGTATTAGAGTTTGTGCTTAAATAACATTCCAGGGCTCTTCGCTTAAAGACAAGTGAAGGAAGGTTCTGCTCAGACCACCCAAAGCCAAGTTTTGACTCACCTGTCCCCTTGCTTTTTAGCAAGACAGGAAGAGCTCTTGTTCAACAGGTCATGTAGATGGACACAGGAAGTACAGAACACATGTATTCTCACAGGAATAAGGCTCTTTAGCCTAATCCAGAACAGCCGAAATCACAGAGGATGGTTAGATGATGGAAATAAACACTCCTTTAGAGTCCCATTCCTCACCATCTTGGCTCTTGTGATGAACCCAGGTGCTGCAGCACTGTTGGGGTTTCCCCAACAGCTTTGCTACTGAGCAGCAGCACTTGCACTGCCAGAGAAGGAGAGAGCAGGCATTAAATGCACAATACGTGGCTAACAGCAGTCAGGAGCCACTGACAAGGTGGGCACAGCCTGGTGTCACTCTTCTTAGCGTAAAATCTTGGAGCGTTTCTTCATTCTTCCATGCCTCTGAACATGAAGATCTCCTATATAGCACCACAATTTTAAATAAATACTTAGAATCACAGAATGGTTTGGGTTCAAATGGACCCAAAGATCACCTAGTTCCAAACCCCCTGCCCTGGGCAGGGACGCCTTCCACTAGACCAGGTTGCTTAGGGCCCCATCCAGCCTGACCTTGAACACTTTCAGGGATGGGACGTCCACAGCTTCTCTAGACAACTTGTTCCAGAGTTATCTGCTTTGTTGCCTTCTTTGAGATGTGTGTCATCTGATTGTATGTGAAAATAAGGTTAGGCCTGATTAACTTAACATGAAACATTTAATCAATTAAAGAAAAAAAATAAAAAGGTTTCTGTAAAGCACTGGAATGGACTGCCCAGGGAAGTGGTTGAGTCACCATCCTTGAGTTACCTCAGCTAGGCGAGCAAAAGGAGGTCTCTACCAATAAGAAAGGATTTCTTATTTTAAAAACAATGAAAGCAGTCTGTGTGGTTTGAGGATCATATTCAGTGTTCAGTGTTATCCTTCGCCTTTGGCTGCCCTTGTTTAGGAGGGCCACCACAATTAACTTTGGGTATTAGTGACTTCAAGCTAAGGAGTCATTTCAGAGCCATAAGGAATAGGATAAGAAAATGCCAAACACCGAAGATCATAGAATGGCTTGTGTTGGAAGTGACCTTTAAAGGTCATCTAGTGCAATCCCCCCTGCAGTGAGCAGGGACATCTTTTACTGTATCAGGTTGATCAGAGGCCTGTCCAACCTGACCTTGAATGTTTCCAGGGATGGGAATCTGTTCGTCTCCAGCCTGTATTGACGCTGGGAGTTGCCCCAACCCAGGTGCAGCACCTTGGACTCGGTGTTGTTAGACCTCGTGAGATTCCCACAGGCCCACTTCTTGAGCTTGTCCAAATCCCTCTGGAGGGCATCCCATGCTTCAGGTGTGTCAACTGCACCACTTAGCTTGATGTCATCTGCAAATTTGCTGAGGGTTCACTTGATCCCTTTATCTATGTCATTGATGAAGATATTAAGTAACACTGATCCCAGTTTGGACCCCTGAGGGACACCACTTATCACCAATGTCCATTTGGACACTGAGCCCTTTACCATTCCTCTCTGGTTGTGACCATCCAACCAATTCCTAATCCACCAAACAGTCCAC